TCATATTGTATCATTGTTTGAAAAAGAACATCCCTCGTAGGCCATCTAAACCCCAAAGCTTCCCTGACAATTTTTTGGCTATATTTGTTATTCAAATTTAGTTTTTTCTAGACATTTCAGCTCTACTCTTATCCAAATCTACCTAAAAGGTTTGTACTTCACTTCTATAATAATCTTCATTGCATTGAACGAATCACATCGCAGATGCCCACGGATCATGAGAATTACAGCATCTGTTTGAGTAACCTGTAGAATTCAAACCTACTTTCAACAATGGAAACGCGGTAAACGGCAACTTTATTAGTCGATTTTGTGAGCTTTTAAAGGTTCTTCATTACATTTTCATGCATGCTGAACCTATTCAGACCGAATGCTTTCATGTTCGTGCTTGGAGAGTATTAGAGCTTTTGATGAATACTGTATCCACCCAGTATTGAGTTTTACAGGAGTAGAAAATTTGTTGATGGTGTCTTATGAGCAAACTGGAGTTCAACAAGCAAAAATTAATTATTGATATTGACGAAAAAAACAATATCACTTATTGAAATTATGTAATTAGGCTCATAAGTAATATTTGAACTGAGTTATAAAATTGAAATAGAAACCAAAACAGAAAGAAAAACTTAAAAGAAAATTGTTAACTTTATGCATACAAAAAAGTTGAGAATATGAAATTAATATAAACTGAAGATAGTGGACTTTCATCAGATGAAATATCAATGGTAATTTGTTTCAATTAGTATTTTGTCAGTGTAGTACAAACATATGCCGTGAAAGTGAAGACGCCATTCAAGAAACTACTATCAACTACCTTAAAAAACATTATATTTTTAGAACTTGTAGATAACCAACAAAAAATTAGAAAGTCAATGAAAGGTAATAAATCTACGGGTATAGATAACGTTACAGTCGAATCTTCAAAAGCCATTTCTAGAGAAATATCTAAACCCCTTGTAACGTGGACTGTTCAAAAAATAAGGTTAATATTCAAATTTCGCGGGCTGCGTACATTCGTTTAGTGATTTTTTCATTATTTTATGTTGCTACACTCGTCTCGAACATATGTTCACTGTTTCAGCTGTTCAGCATGTTTAGTTTGTTGGTGAGAGGCATAAAAGTTGAAGTGTTTTGCGTGTTCCACGATTTTCTGCTATCAACAAAAATTGATCGAAGAATTTCATTGAATTTCGTGTGAAAAATTTAATGAAGTGCTCAAAAACATTTGAAATGTTGACAGTTGCATACAGTGAGTCAGTACTACAAGTGGTACAAGCTTTCCACAGAAATTATGAATGATCACGCTCGCCCTGGATGTCCCGGCACATCAACAGCCGATGGAAATGTTGAGAAAGTGAAGAAAAGTGTTATGGAGAGTCGTCGGATCACTATTAGAGAAGTTGCTGAGGATGTCGGCATGTCGGTTGGCTCATGCACCGCTCAGGAATTGTTTAATGACGTCAACGGTGATTCACATTTGCTCAAATGGTCATAACTGGTGACGAGTCATGGGTATATGCTTATGACATCGAAATCGAAGTCTAATCGTCCGAATGGAAGAGCCCAGGAGATCTAAGAACAAAAAAGCACGCCAAGTGCGATCAAATGTCCGGTATTGTGAAAAAACAATTCATGGCTTCTGCATCATGAGAATGCACCTGCTCACTCGTCATTGCTTGTGCGTGATTTTTTGGACAAAAACAACACCGTTATCATGCCTTAGCCACCATATTCACCAGATTCGCCCCTTGCGACTTTTTTTGTTCCCATGGAAAGACGGAGTTTTGCGACAATTGAGGAGGATAAAACCGACTCTCTGAAAGAGCTCAAGAACACACCAAAAACTGCATATCAGAACTACTTCGAGGATTGGAAAAAACGCTGGCCCAAGTGTATCATATCTGAGGGGGACTACTCTGGAGGTTTCAAAATAGAAATTGATGAATGGGAAAAATGAAAATTCACCTAATTTTTTGAACAGACAGCTCTAAACTGATGATCATTGTCCTCAAAATAACTGTCTCAACAGCATTCAGAAAAATTGATAAACCTTAAATTCCTAACTACCGGAAAATTTCACTGTTTACGTCACTCATTGAGGCCTTTGGAAGGATTCTGGAAGTTCGATATAAAAATTCTTATTATTTCTGGAAGTCAACCCAATGATGTTTCACTTATTTAACCGATTGAAAATAAAGTTTCAAAATTTTCAGTTTTTATATATATGATGCAATAAGCCGATACTTGATGAATATCCATAACATTTGTCAATAACACTTTTCCGAAATATTTTCACAAAACCGCTACACGTGTTTCACTATGCAATAGCTTCCTCAGGCGTGTTCATACCAACTAATAGTGAAATACGTGTTGATGTTTTGTGAACTCTCCAGTGGAAAATTTCACAATGACCTTACTTCCATACATTTTGGTTTTTGATTCGAAAACTTTTCTCGTTCGAAAAAAATACATCACTGTCATGAGTGAACTTATGCCTTCTCTCTAAAAGTGGTTTGCAAGTTTTGAATTGCGCTCCTCTCCCAAGAGACGTTTTCTATTCTCTTTTCATCTTTTGAAGGAAGTTTTCTCCATTTGCCTAATCTGTTCGACATTGTTATTAATGCATTTGCCCAAATTATTATTCGTTATGTCTGTCGTTTTCAAAAACGAGCGATATTTTTGATGGGTTTGCTAAAAGAAGTTAATTTTTAATGCTTACCATCGCTTTTTCGAGTTTGGTAGAAGTGTTTCATAGCTTGTTTCTGAAGTGTTTTAAAAAGAATGTAATCAATAAAATCATAGAATTGTAACCATTGTTGACAGCAAGTATTTTGAAGAAATAACAATTCTCAGTGTACATTGCTTTCTGTGGAATATTCAATAACATTTTTAGAATACTGTTCAGTGATACTCGTATGTGAAGCATACTGCTCAGTAGTATGCAGTACATACGGCCGCTGCAGCGTCTATACAGGGTGTAACATAAGTACGTCAAAATATTCAAGTGAGAAAATTTTGAGAAAAAAAGTCGATATGAACTTGGAAATGGTTTGTTTCAGAGATACATGGTGTTGACATTTTGTTGAAATTTTTCAAAACATGGTTGGTTTTTGTCATGAGTTTTTTGTAATTTTTGTTATTTGTATCTCGAAAACGAATGATTTTTCGATAAACATTGTATAGAAATATTTGTTTATTTTGACGAGATCCAACACATACTTGTTTTTTTTAATATTCTCAGCAACTTCACTTAGCGTCCCTAGGAGCTAAATAATATGCATCGATATAGATTGCAATTGTGAATATCTCGAAAATGATCATCTCCAGTTGAGAAACTATACTCTTTTTACTTAGAACAGATGTGGCAATTGGGTTTTTTCATAAAAAGTACCAAAAGCTTACTGTCAATTTGAAATGAATAATAAAAGCATACGCAGAGTCCTCGTTACATGATGTTACATGAAAATTAATACAAAATTATGATTTCCCCAAAAAAACCCGGGTACCAAATTTCGTGCAAATAATTATTTTTTGCAAAAGTAGCTATTAAAAAACAATCAAAAATACTCAATTTCAACACCCTGTATCTCCGAAACGAAGCATTTCCGGACAAAAGTTTATATAGACTCTTTTTCTTGAACTATTTTCAGGAATAAGTCACTTGAATATTTTAACCTACTCATGTTCAGTGCTGCCGTTAAGGTACTGTACCGCATTCGGTACTATTCCATGATTTTGATACGAAGATACTACCCGGATCAATATGTAGACTATTCGGTACTATTTACTATAATCCCAATTTTTTACATTTTCACGTTGACTCCCATCGAGTACAGTAAAAAATAACAACAATATGTGTGGCAACAATGCAATTCCGTGTTTCAAGTTCCAGATCAGCAAATACCGTACCGTAAATTGCGAGCTATCGTCATAACTCTGCATTATTTAATCCTGTGTTCTGTATTGTGCCTGTGAACTGTGGTTCTGTCATCTGTCAGTCAGTCAGCAGAACAGCAGTTTCAACTTCTAACCTCACACCTCACCTTGAGAAATTGGTTTTATTGTTTTGTCAAAATAAATAGGAATATGGACAGGTAAAAATAAATTCTCGAATCTAGCTACTTGAAAACGTCTTTAGTATTGTTCATTCTATTGTGACAGAAACCTATTTAAAACAAAACACATTTGCAATCGTGAAAGAGCAATTTGAAGAAGGAAAACATTTCTTAGTTTCCAGCAAATTTTTTACCCCATATATTTTCCGAATTTAAATGGATAACATTATTACACGTTTGGCATTACTGGCATTTGGTCTGAAATGACTTATGCGCATGTGCCATGCCTAGTCTTGCGCAGTACATTTTGGGTACTATTTTCTTGTAAATTTCGGTACTTTTTGAATTGACGTTGCGGCAGCACTGCTTATGTTACACCCTTGTATACAATGTGATTCACCATTTGTGAATTTATTAATCTTATGCTTCAAGAAATAAACATATCATTGTAGATAATCTGGAGATAAAATTTATTGAACTCAAATTTAGAATTTGGTTTCGGAATAACATGTTTTCTTCGAGAAGATGTTCAACCTGGTCAAATATTTCAACCGGGGAACACTGGGGAATTGAGTTTGGGCGTAATTTTCCGAACAAATTGTAATTTAGTAGATAAAAATGATTTGAAATCTCATAAATCATTCAAATATCCCTAATTTCAATCGTAGAAATATTGATTTCATTCAATTCATATAATATACCATTTATTATATTTGAATCTGTTGAAAAATCTGTTTAAAAAATCTCAGGAGTCGAAACTTTTGCAAGCTGGGCATGAACGAAATCTTATTATTCAACGTGCGATTCCGAGCACAGGAATCTCTCTCAACATTGCTTTTGATTGAATTTTCATCACCAATAAATGAAATGGTCGCTGCACATTAGCACTGAATATTTCTATCAATATCTATTTGTCACATATTCCTTAACAACCTCGTACAGACTTGGTCAACCTGGAGTTGACGTTCACGTTCGACATGACATGGACGGCCCACCGGGATCAGCTGCAGTCCTCCACTTGCAGTTCTTGGTCAATGAGGGAGCACTCATATCAGCCACGGCGGACGATGCTCTACACCTGTGGAACTTTCGACAAAAAATTCCGCAGATCGTGCAGAGTCTCAAGTTCCAAAAAGAAAGGTGAGTGTTTCAGTTGCTTTTGGGGTTGACGAAAGTAAATATTGTCTGAAGTATAGTTGAAGTTTTTGTGTTGCGTTGGCGTTGTAATTAGTAGTGAAATAAAGATGAGTTTAACTGTACCACCGTATAGAAGTAAACACAAGTAAGTTCACTCTCCGCCATATTTGGGTCAAGATTTCCCACCTCGAATTTTATGCGCGGCTGACCTACAGCGCAACCGACTGAACCTGAGGCGTTTACCAAGCGAGCCAAAATGAGCAGGAAATATTATTACAGAGTGAGTCGTTGTAAGTGGTGATTTTGTATTTGTGTCCAGTTTAAAAATGAACAAGTATTGAGCTGTGGGTTGCGGTAATTTGCAGGATGATGTCGGCATTAATTTTTTTCGATTTCCAACTGACGAAAAAATGTATGTTTTTCTAGTATTTATTATATAAGATCAAAGGAATAAACATATAACTAAAATCATCAAATACAGTGTTATAGGCCGTAATAGTGGGATCAGGTCAGGCAATTATCAAAAATTGGATTAAGAGTTAGGAGTATCATTTCAGATTTAGGTTCTAATTTTTATAAACTTGCCAGAAAAGATCTCAAAGTGACTATGGACCAGTAATATTTCTTTGTTGATAAGAACAAAATGTTTTTTACTTTTTTGATACTCCTCATCTGCTGAAATATAGCCGAAACCTTTTTTTATGACTTTTTGAAATTTGATGGATATACAACAAACAAAAGTCATCTTGAACAACTTTACAACTCGGATAAGGAAATACAATATAGACTAGCACCCAAACTTACTGATTCTCATTTATTTCCAATTAACTTTCAAAGGATGAAGGTTAAATTAGCCAGTCGAGTTTTCAGTAATTCGGTAGCTACAGCGATGAATACTCATGCCAGTTTCAATCATATACCATCAACAATATTTTCAAAAATCAACGTTTCTCATTTTGTTTATGAACAAATTCAAAAACTCTCAATATCTTATGAAGGATCAGACTGAATTGAATAATTCGCCATTATTGAATCTGTTCATTTCCAGGTAAAAATAGTTAGGTATATTTAAGGTACTTTCGAGAAATTTATTGATATAGTTAATGAATTCATACTTGATCGTTTCAGGTTAGAGTATGAAATGGTTGTGATTTGGAAGTAACTTTTACTTAATGCTTAAGAAAGCTATTGTATAGCTTAACACGTGTCGCGGTTTTTGTAAAACCCTCTATAGTGAAAATCGTACAATAAACTGTATTGATTAATTTTAATATGGATTTTCATCAAGTATCGGCCAGTTCTATTCAATTAATTTTCCTTTGGATTATTTATTTTCTCTTTTCGCAAGGGTAAGAATTTATTATACTTTGAAATTTGACAATAGTAATTTCAAAACAAATGTTAAAAAAATCAAAAACTCAACATTCTGAAAAATCTTCAGAATAGATTAGCATAAGTTTTTGACTTAAATTGTATAATCTTACTTTACAAAATATACGTTTATTTCACCACCTTGTCTCATTTTTTATCAATTCCTAAACAGTTCACAATCATATGAGATATTTAGTGTGAGCTCCTCGTAGCAATGATGAAGTCAGATCATGGTCACATATTTTTTGATCGAACCTTGTGCAGAGGTGCACGATAGCTCTTAGCCGACCCCTCATACCCCGCCACATGCCAGCAAAAAATAAAATCTCGACCCGATACGTCAAAGACGCCGACCGGGAGTGAATTTACTTATGTTTACTTCTATACGGTGACTATACAGTATAGTCATTTATTGTCGAATCCATGGGGAAACGTAATAATATTATGTATCTGTTAAATCTAAACGTCAACCATGAATCAAAACAAATGAAAATTCAATACTGAACAAAGGTCATTTGAGAACAGGATTTGTTTTGTTTATTGACCTTTTTTGGTATCTCTCACCTCTCACGATTTGAAAAAACTATGTAATGGAGAACTCTATACAGGTGTAAAAAAGGAAAAATTCCAGTTCACTCCGATAAATTACTGTGTAGATTCAATACGAGGTTTGTTAAAAAATAAGGTTAACTTCAATTTTTCTCAAGAAATATTTACTTATCCATCAAATATTATATTTTGTCTTCTTCAAAGTAGCCCCCCTCAGATATAATACACTTGTGCCAACTTTTTTTTCTAGAAGCAGTTCTGATATGCACTTGTCCTTGAGCTCTGCCAGCGAATAAGTTTTTATCTAACAAATCGATAGATTCTTTCAATGATTTGAAACTCATTACATGCTATATTTCCATATTATTTGGAAAATTCACCAAGAAAAATGATGATATCAGTAGAAATATATGACTAATGAGGTGATATGAGTTTATTTCCTCAATAGCTTTGAAACTAAGAATTTGTCGGAACTTAATGGTTTTCCTTATAGAAATTGATTTACAGTTTGATGTCAATAACAAATCATTTTTCTCGAACATAATTTTGTGTTTTATTACTGATCAGCTTCCGAATAAACACAGTGAGTACCGAAATAGAAGCATAAAAATTTAAATTTTCCTTAAACGCCTAGAAATTTTATGATATGGTATTCTAGTTTTTTCAAACACATGAAAGTTCTACGGCGTAGAGAAATATCAGGACTGTATTAAAAAAATAATAATATATTTTGTGATCTGATCATGATATTTATTCAAACTCGGAATAATAAAAAAAAATCACGATATTATGCAAACATTACTATCAAAAACCTACAAAAAATGCAGGTCCATATTTAAAAGTTTCATGTTGACGGTGCCTCAAGTCGAATAACCCTGTATATAAATTCCAAGATAATATTCTGTTAGTTCAATTAAAGTTACTTCGGCAAAGTGCAAACAGATTTTCAATATTCCTGCAGCAAAAAATCAAATTTTTTGTGTGTTTCTGAATATCCCGAAACCAACAAAGCTAGAATTATTTATTCAGAATCATTCAATATAATGATAATAGGCAACTATCCTATGATTCAACCTACTCTTTATCTCTCACCGTTCAGAAAATTGCCATGTATAGGATCGGATTTGAATAGCCCTGTATATTCACGTTTTCAAGTTTCAACCAATTTGACAAATTACTGATCAAAATAATTTCTAAACAATACTTTGCCAGCGAATTATAGAAGAAAAATGTCACTTCGAACAGAGTTTTCCAAAGAACATTATAACTGAGCTTTACAGAAACCATTATTTTGCTGCAATGAAAATCCAACGCTTCACTAATAAAATCACGTTATATTGTAGCAGGAGAAAATTTCCGGAGAACAATAATTTCAAATAATACCGCTATATGAGCACTGTAATAAAAATATTTCTGTATAATAAAAACCTACAATTCACTAAATATTGTGTTTTTTTTTTCCAGAATCACGTGTATGCATCTTCCATTGCAGTCGAAATGGCTCTACGTGGGTACGGAAAGGGGTAACGTTCATGTAGTTCAGATAGAGAATTTTAATCTTTCCGGATATATAATAAATTGGAATAAAGCTATAGAAGTGTAAGTATTTAACAGATATCTTATTTTTATTTCATTTCAGAAAACTGATGTCTCAGATCTTTTTGGTAGGGAAATTTGTATTTTTTGAGACCTCGTGAACGATTTTCCAAAATTATTTCCGAAAGATTATCCTGCTGCCCTTTGACTTAAAGGAGTAAATAAAAATTTCAATACGGTGAACTTTATTATCCCCATGAACTATAATCTACTTTCTTGCGTTCATAAGGTTTGTTTTTGACTATTTTACGTACAGTTGAGAAAATAATTTCGGTCAAATCTGATATTGCTTGTAATAGTTTTTTTCCCTCGAAACCAAACTTGATATGTAGATTCTTATATACATTGAAACATACTCTCTGTGTTTCAATATCCAAATGCATCCAAATCTTATTCACTGGTATTTCTTTTTCGCATTGTTCACCATTGCTATTGGAATCACTACACTGGCAAAAAAGTCTGCGTTGTTATCACACTCGTTATTACTATTTGTACTTGTCCAAGGACGCCACATTTTAAACAGATGACAAAAATTTTGAGCAATTATAACTGCACCAATATCGAACTTCAACGATAACCTTCCCTGATTTCTATTTTCGTCACCGCAACATGACTTCACATTTAATTTTTTGACTCTTTGGCCAATCATAAAACTCGGTTAGTAAAAGTCATCCAATACGAACTGCCAAGTATACGGTCCACGTGGATGAGTTCGCTGTCTGTTCATTACTATGTATTGTTTTTTTTACTTTTGAGAGTGTCGCCATCATTAAATGTGCACAATATCGTTTACTTCGACTATACTTCATATATTCTTGGCTCTAAGATCCTCAAGGGTTGTCTTTCTTTATGTGTTAATTAAAACACTCAGGTTTCATTCTTAATTAGTTTCTATTTCTCATTTCTGGAATTCCTAAAATGCTTCTTATTCGTAATTCAATTTTAGAATTCAAGAACTTAATATTTGTTTTTTTTTTTTCGGAGTTTCTTTTGGTAATCGACAAAAGTTCTGCTATACTAAAATTCCATAATAGTAGGCACTGAATTCTCTGAAATATTATTGCATTAAAACGAAAACATTGTTGTCGAGTTCTCAGTCAATATATTTTATCATATAATAATATTAGTATAATCAGTATATTACTGGAGTTCTATCCCAACACCAAATTGTTATTTTTAACACCTCGACACGTGTTTCAATCACCAAGTGATCATTTTTAAGAGAAATATTAAACTCCAGTAATATTCATCACTACACCAAAGGTTCCAAATAGTGCATCACAAGTATACAGGGTATGCCATATTCGATGATCTATTAGACGTATCTAGAGAACAAAAATAGATGGGAGTATCAAATTTTGGACATCAACTTAGAAGGTTCAAATGGAACACCCTGTATATTATATCATTTTTGAATTCTGCATCGAAATCCAAGTTACTTTTGTGAACTATGTTCTATACCTATCTCTCACCGGTTTCAAAATAATAATCATTGTGTAATTTTTTTTGTCAAGAACATGATATTTTTAATATTTAATATCGCATGAACTAACTGAAACATCTAACTCAAATTCTGGCAACATTGAGATAAAAGATGATGGCTGTTATTTCATAACGGAACTCAAATTTTATTTTATACAGAGTGTCTGAAAAATACGTCTCAATTTATATCTTTGAAAAACGACCATAACAAATTTTTTTCAAATAGAACACCCAGTATATTATTCAATTTTTGAATTCAGCCAACCAATGTGAACAACTTTGATCAACTATGTTCTATACCTATCTCTGACCGTTTATGAGATATGAACTATTTCTAAAAAAATTTGCTCCTATGCAAGCATAAAATTTCCAATAAAATTAAAAATCAAGTGCATAATACACAAGAAATACTTTTGAATATTATTAAATCGGTATGAAAAATTCAATACATATGGTGAATTTTTTTCTATTCCCAATAATCTACTCGAATATCAAAAGAGTGTTAATTCAAACATTAATTTTCAATTTCGCAACTGAATTTCGGCAAGGATCATGATCTGAGTGTATCATGATCTAAGTCTAATTTAAAAAACAAAATGATGGATATGATATTAACTTGTTTAAATAGTTCGACTGTCATATTGAATAGTGAAGATGGATAATAATAATCATTCGAACTCTTAGAATCCTAAATTCGATTTATATTCATTTATTTCACGTGAGGGAATATTCAATCGTCGAAATAATCACTTCTGGGCTTCAGAAAATCCCCATTTCATTATACAAAGGGGAATTCAACAAAAATTCAGTTTTAATGTTTTTTGTATGCTCACGGATGATAAAGTTTCTATTTGCAATCACGAAGAAAAGTTGAATTCCGAAAAATATTTAGATATTCTGAGATCGACTATGGGTTATTTTCTAGACGATTTGCTTGTATCGGAATTGTTGGTATCACCGGATATGACTCGCCTAGATTTTTACCTCTGTGGAAAAATCTAAGAAAAGAAATAGAGAACACCTATCAATACGAAACAGAAACTGAAAGATCGGGTAGATGTGCTTTCGAGGAAATCGACCCGTCGGATATCCGCAGAGCCACGACTGATCACATAATAACATCATCAATCCATCAATGTTCACAAGCGAATGGTCAGCATTTCAAGCACCTGAGCTAGTGAATTTTTGTCATGTGTTAAATAAATACATTTTTCGCCGACTTTTGTAATTGAAATGTTATATTTGCATAGAAGCAAAAAAATTATAGAAGAATTCATATCTCATAAACTGTCAGAGATAGGTATAGGACATAGTTGACCAAAGTTGTTCACATTGGTTGGCTGAATTCAAAAATCGAATAGTATACAGGGTGTTCCATTTGAAAAAAATTAGTTATGGTCGTTTTTCAAAGATATAAATTGAGACGTATTTTTCAGACACTCTGTATAAAATAAGATTTGAATTTCGTTCTGAAATATCGACCACCATACCTTATCTCGATGTTGGCAGAATTTGAGTTCGATGTATCAGTTAGTTCATGCGATATTAAATATTATAAATACCATGTTTTTGCAAAAAAAATTACAAAATGATTATTGTTTTAAAAACGGTGAGAGATAGGTTTAGAACTCGGTTCACAGAAGTAACTTGAATTTTGATGCAGAATTCAAAAATGATATAATATAAAGGGTGTTCCATTTGAAATTTCCAAATTGATGTCTGTTAGATGTAGATGTGGCAATAACGCGGCAATGAAAATATTTTCAAACGATAGATCACAGCCATCTACATTGGTAATCAAAATTTGAAACTCTCATCTTTTTTCTTCTCTAGATACGTCTAATAGACCATCGAATATGGAATACCCTGTATAATTAGTATAATTTCCGTACGCCACTGCAAAACACAGATCAAGGCAAAAACGTTAGAGTCATTTCTTTTCTGAGAATTCAGTGACCACTATTTTGGAATTTTCTGGAAATGATCTGTGAAAATATACGTACTATAGTCCGTTCATAATTTGTCGATAGCACAAAATGAGGGCCCAAGTCATAAAATGGTCGTAAAAATCGTAAAATCATAGGCGGAGGTTCCTGAGGTGTTTATTCATTAAATATAAAGCTTCAGTTTATATTCGAAACTTGCCTTGAAAGGGTGAAGTTGTTACGAACGAAAATAATTTTTGGTTTAGTACATTTTTNGAATTTGAATAGTTTTGTAAGTAATCGTAGTTTATATCATTTAAAAATAGGTATTAATTAAATAAATGTATCTTTTACAAATTGCAAGTAACTTATTATTTTTGAATAAAATAAAGAAATTTTTTTAAAATAAAAATACAGTTTACAGTACCTACAGTTTAAGAATATTAATATATTTATTTATTTAAAGTAACTAATGTTTTAATCATATACTCTACGACACTGGTCACTCATTTCCACTCAAAATACCTACATAATCGGATTAAAGTTTTATAGCTGTATTGTATTTCTTCACATACAAGGTGGGTTAGTCGAAAACATCTTAAACTGCCAATTTTAGTTTGGTTTTTGTTATTATATCATATTAGCTGTCCTCTCTGTATTTCAGTTCTCTAATGAGGGTCAAACTTGCAGTGAGCTATCAACAAATTATGAACGGACTATAGGTCTCTCAGTGGGAGTGTCAATACCTTCTCAAATCAACAAAGATAGGCCCGTTACAATGTTCGCAGGTTTACAGTCAAGTCATTGAAGTTACCAGAATCAGCTCCGATTTTTATTTTTACATAAAGTTTTTGAAGTCAGAACTATTTTGGAGTGGGATTATATTGTTTATATTATTTGAATATTATGTATGATGTTTATATAAAAAATTCAGTTTTTCGAGACATTTTTTTGGAAAAAAATTTCCGTAGATCAATTAATATAACAACTGTGCATTGAATATTAACTTTGACCCCAACGGTAATGTTTAGTATAATGAATACTTCTTACTATTTTTTGGGATAACCACAATCTAACAATAGAGAATCTGCTGAAGTGTAATAAAGGTCAAACTGTAAAGTTCACCCCGAAAATTTACTATGTAATAATAACAACCGAAGAGCCCTATCAGTCAGTAACTTCTATTCATAAATTTAAATTTTTGTATTCACAAATTTAAAAAACAGTTGAGAGAATTAAATTTCAATACTTAGCTTTCTTTAGCAGTCGATGTTTCGGAAAACGGAAAACGAACGTTTGTTTGATACGTGTGACATACGAATGTCAAAGGAATTAAAGCTATTTACAATTTGAAAAGAAAGTTTCGAAGTGAATTTTATTATTTTTATAACGGAAAAATATTGTTTTACGAAACGTCGACCACTAAAGGAAGCTAAGTGTTGAATTTTTTTTTCAATTTGTAGGAAACATTCATGAATACAAATTACCGTCTAATTGCACTCTTCAGTGGTTTACATTACGCAATAACTTTTCCAGGTGAACTTTTCTTTTTACCCTTCATTACACTTCAACAGATTTTCTATTGATTCAGCTTCGTTAACTTTTTCAGATTGTGGAAGCAGATTGTGCCAAAAAGCAAAAAAGTCTTTCAAAGAATATTTGAATGGGTATAATAATGATGAAACTGAAGCATCCGAAAAAAAAATGTAGGCAACTAATTTATACTTCATTTCACTGTTTATTAGAAGAACACATGCCTTTGAATACATCCAAAGAAAGTTTTTTGGAAAACAGCAAAAAAATAGGTTCAATAGTTTCCTCTTTCAAAAACTGTCCGAAAAAAATATTGATTACAGTCAAGCTGAAAGTGATGAGGATCATTCAATTGTACATTCACCTTCAGATAATGACGTCCATGATATAGTTGAAGTGTTAGTGGTATTGATGGATTCAGTTTTCAACCAGTCAAAAATAACCATCCAAGTTATCCAAGTTATCCAACAATATGCATTCGATGTGATACTACATCCGCTTTCTTTCTATATTAAAAGGAAAACGAAAATGAAAGCAAAGAACTTCACAATCAGAAAATTGAGGATAAACTGCTTGGCAATCCCAACGGGTCTAGATCCTTCTGGTCAATAGCTGAAACTGTTAATCAGAACTTTACAAAATCCACAATTCCACTACTAACACAAGCGGGTGGTTCAATTGTAGCAACAGCCATAGAAAACGCAAATCTACTAGCTGAACAATTTGCGTCACACTCCACAGTCGATTTTCTGAGAAAGGCACCATCCACAATTCCCACAATAGAATCCACAATGCCGGAAATTACTTCTTAACAGCGTCTATTCAGGCGAATTTTGAAACAGCTCAATATCAACAATGCGTCTGGCCCTGATGAAGTCCCCGTCATAGTACTTAAAAAGTTCCCGAATGAACTCGCACCAGTATTTTGCAGACTTTTCAACCTGTCTCATAAGAAAGGGGTTTTTCCTTCTTGTTGTAAGTTTGCTGGCGTTCAGCCTATTCCCAAAAAGGGCAAGAAAAATCTTCTGAATAACTGTAGAACAGTCATTTTGCAATCAGTGATATCAAAAATCACGGAGAAAGTCGTAAACCACCATATTCTTAAATATTTGGAAGACTATAACATCTTGAGCGATCATCAATATGGTTTTCGGAAACAAAGATCAACAGGCGACCTTCTATCGTATGTCACCCATATTTTGAATAACGCAATCGAGAAACATGGAGAATCAAGAGCTGTTGCGCTTGATATTTCTAAGGCCTTTGACCGTGTGTAGCATGAGGGTTTGCTTGACAAACTTCGATGATATGGCTTGTCGCTCTTCAGCGTCCTGAAAGAACATTCCCTGCAAGTGGCCGTCGATGGATATCTCTCGAAGGCTTTCACCATCAACTCTGGTTTCCCCAGAGATCCATATTGTCTCCAACACTCTTTTTATTGTATATCAACGACTCATTAGAAAAAACCAATTGCTTTGCCGACGACAGCACACTCGTCTCTTCATTTCATTTGGATTCCAGGACATCGGCTACGAAGACATATCTTCACCAGCAGGAGGTTGCATATCTTAATGAGGATCTAGAAGTGATTTCAAATTGGGGTGAAAGTAACCAGGTTCAATTCAATGCCACATAAACCCAGGCATCGGTTTTCTCCAAGGAAATAACTGTCTTTGAACTGGATATAATAAAGTCAGGTCAGACAATTCCGCTTTCTGCTTCGATAAGTTTGTTGGGGGTTGAAATGGACACCAATATGTTCTGGCACAATCTTGTCGTTGGAATTGCAAAGGCTGCTTTTCAAAAGCTTGGAACACTGTTACGAACCAGAAAACTGTACACACCTCAGCAACTTTTGATGCTTCATAAAACTCAAATCAGACCTTTTTTGGAGTATTGTTCTTATGTATGGAGCTCTGCTCCCAAAAATACCCTGAAGTTGCTGGATTCCATCCAGAGAAAAATCATTCACCTGATTGGAGACGCGAACATCACGTGCAACCTTGACAGCCTGGAATATCGAAGAAAGGTTGGAGATTTGTCTTTCATAGATACTTTCACGGGAAGCGTTCAAGTGACTTGGCACATTTAATTCCACCAAGAGCGGTACATATTAGAAATGCGCGACGGCCTGTGGCTGCTCATCGTTTGAAAACTCTCTCATCTGAAGAACTGCGTGTAAGTGAAATAAACTTCCTGAGAACGTTTTTCCAAATGGATTTAATTTCCAGCGATTCAAATCCAATGTGAATCGCTACTTTCGCACAAGCACCGCTCTGAGAGCGGTGCTGTAATGCTTATGTTTTGTCCTTAAAAAAATCGCATCCTCACAATATACTGCCAAAAATTTGAATGAACTGCATTACAAATATTTCAGAATATTAGGACCGTGAAGTGTTTTCATAGATATTGGAAATTGGCAATTAGATTCCTAATGATGAAACCAGCAGGTAGAGACTCAAAGGGGATTGAAATGAATCATCATTAGTCCATTTGCAAGCAATGGCGCAACATATTTAGCTATAAACCCGCTGGTTTGATCATTAAAAATTTAATTGTCATTTTGCATTTCTCTGAAAATACTATACTATTCTTGGTACCTTTGTCAACAGAAGATCAAGCATTATAACTTCAAGTGAGTTCACTTGCAAGTTCAATAGTAGCAAAAAGGTAACTGCAAAAACCTGCAGCTGTTTTCTGAATTTTTGACTTCTTCAACGTTGGTGGCATAGTTTCAATGTGAATATCTAATGTACTGTTGGGTTCGACTTGGGTGCTTTGTTCACTCAGTAAATCGGCCGATGTATGAGTCGATGGTTCAAGCCATAGGCAGAACGCTCGATTTTCACTCGCTATCGTCCAACCCGCGTTAGAATATAAAAAGTAGTAACCCGATTGATTCGAAAATTCTGTGACAAAATAAACTCCGGTTTGATGCCAAGGGGGGAAGGGTTGAAAAAAAAGTGTTAGGAATCACACGTTAAAATGTAGGACCTCGTTAGTCCTTAGCTCGCACAAGTTTCGACTTCTGGGGGCTGTCATTCGTAGGGGTGCGATAGCTGGTTAACGGAAAAAACATATTTTAAATATTTTTTTAAACACATATACGAAGAATGTTCCCAAAAAAATATACGCCAAACTGAATTTATTTTATGAATATCATACATATTGTTTAAATAATATTGAAGTTTGTTTCCAATCTGAATTGTATTTAGAAGTATTCCTTCGAAAATACTTCATAAAAATTCGCAGTCATTTTTTATGTTTTATCGAAAACAACAATGTAACATTGATGATGTAAAAAAGTACTCATTTTTTCCAGCTCACGAAAAACGCACCCCGGTGCTATAGTACATCTAAGTGATAACCCTTTAGACGCTAGCAAAGTAAGTTCACTTCATAGCTAACGATTCCAAATCACAACTATAACATAATACACTTTCAGTTGTTGATAGGATTCGAAAGTGGATTAGTAGTCCTGTGGGATTTAAGGAATAAAATGGCGGACATGAGGTGGCTGACGAATGAGTTGAGATCCATAGCGTGGCATCACGAGGGCAAACAGTTCATGTGCTCACACACAGATGGCACCCTGACAACTTGGAGTTTGAAATCGCCTCTTAAGTATATCCATATATCACAACCTCATGGTAAGCAATATGATGTGACAGGACCACTTGATGATTTTAAATGTTGTTTCTTGTAGCAAAAGTTAATAAAGAAGGTAAACCGGAACAGTGTAAACCCATTACAAAAGTTGAATGGAGATCATCTAGAATGGGGTAAAATTTCATTACATTTACTGAGTGACTTGAAAACATTTGTATTTTTTTTATTTCAGAGAAGCTTATGTGATATTTTCCGGAGGAATGCCTTACGACCAAGCCAGCAGAACCCCCTGTATAACCGTTGTATTTAGTAAAACAACTACTGTTTTAGAAATGGAACATAACGTTATAGATTTTATCACGTTGTGTGAATCTCCGTATCCAAGTGGTAATTTCTATTTTCTATTATTTGTTTTATTGGTCTTCCATTTTAAGATTTATTCAATAGTTCAAAATTCTTCCGAAGGTACCGATAAATGGTAAATTGAAAAAAAACAGCTTTCTTCAACCATCTCTACCAGCAATATTTCCCAAATTCACTTTTTTTTTTATTTTGGTAACTCCCATCAGCAATACAATATAGTTTTTGAGTATAGTCTCCATTCAATTGAATACAGGTATACCAACTCATAACTAACTTTTTCAATTCGTCTGCAATACATTTCTGTAGAATCTCAAAGTTTTTCAAAGTAGTTGTAAACAGTTCACAAAACATATTGTACTTGGAGAAAGTACATTTTTAGCCAGAAATAACTCCCAGATCTTTGATATTATTAGTTACTGCTATATATTTTCCATTATTTATATATGAGAGAAAAAGAATAAGTTAATCTCTGACATTTATTTTATGTTTAAACGTAATAAATTGATATTGCCATCTAATAAAATTGTTTAGATCATAATACGTGCGTCGGATATTTTGAGATGTTTCAAGTCTTTCTGCAAGTATGATGAATGAACAATGCCACGAGATATTTTTGAGGCACTTCTGATTCATTTTGTCATAATAAAGAGTTTTCATAATTCATAAAGTACCTTCTACAAAAGTAAATTTACATTCAATGTAAAATATTCTTTTTTATACCTTAAGCCTTGTGCTTTGCAATCAATGAGTTATAACTTTATCGAAGGTAGTTTTCATAATGTAAAAAGTAATTTTCAATTGAGTTTCCTTTGGTGAAGCTATGTTGTTGATAATTAAGAATGTTCTAAGTGATTACAACTTTAAAGAACTCGACAAATTGTTGGTGATACTGGTAATTCCACTAAAAGCATGAAGTTGTTTGAGCTTTTGAAAGAATTAATCTAGTCTAGAAGCAATAATCAACTTGCCTAAAACATTTTGATACTTTTGGGTCACATCACGTGAATTGTTGGAGAAAAATGGTACTCTAGGAAATGATGAATTACCACAAAAGTGTTATTTCTGATTTTCATCTGTGCGCTACGAGACTGATTAAGATATTTCTAACGACAAAAATTTTCTTTCTTAGTGCAGAATGTAAAAAAAATTGCACTTTGAAACTTGTACGAACTTAACCTCAAAACCAAATTTTCAAAAATTCTCACGAGACACACTATAAAGAATAAAGAACTTAGATATTTTTTAAATACTCCTAAAATATTTACATACTTTCTTCAGATTATTCAAGTTGGAAATTTGCAAACTGACTGTATTTTCCATTGACATGAAACTAACAGAATTCTGAACGGAACTTTCTCACCTTAAAAAAAGTCCAATTCCTGTTAATTGTTTCCTTTTATGAAATATTCTCTAACATACAGATTACGGAGTGGATACGTGGCGTATAAAAGTCAGTTTTGTTGAATAAAATAACGTATATTGCTCTCCATATCAGAAGTTATGTTAAAGATAACGACAAAAAATTAATGTGTTCAACCGTCCTCATTCGAAGCGACTGTGTTGTTTTCAAGAAAATGATTATCGAATAATAATCTAAACTCACCATTTATTTAACAAAGGGTGAATCGAAAAATGATGATTCTTAAAATAGTATTATCATCAACACGAAAAAACTAGTTTTCGAGCCCTGAAGAAGAATTCAATTAAAGTCGAAACGTCGGCAAGAATACAATTGTTTTTTTAAGAAAAAATTGATCCCGTTACCCAGCCAACCCCTTTTTCAGAAAAATTATTTGATCACTAAACTAGTTAACTAAAAATAATACTCCCATCTTTTTTTCAGAACTTCAAGAACCGTATGCAATAATAGCACTTCTTCAAAACGACTTAGTAATCATGGATCTCCAAACAGCTGGTTTTCCATGTTTGGAAAACCCTTATCCCATGGATATTCATGAATCTCCCGTAACTTGTTGCAGTTACTTGGCTGACTGTCCTGCCGATCTAATACCAGCTTTTTATTCCGTTGGACGAGCGAGCGCCCTGAAAAGGACAGGATTCTCAGAAATGGATTGGCCTATAAATGGAGGCACGTGGCCTGCGCACGCATGTACTTACGCCGAAATAATCATGACAGGGTACGATGTTTGAATTATTAATTTGGAGGCTAATCATCTAGATGTAGCTCCATTACTATCCTGCTTTCAATTCCGATTCTATTCTAATTTCACTAAGCTTCGTCGTTGCGTATTGAATCCCACGTATTCAGTAGAGAGAACAATTTGAATTGAAAGATAATTAGTAGCTTAAAATAATATTTTTCATGTATCACATTGGTTGTTGAAATTTTCAGAGATAATCTTAATTTGCTTAAGATTTGTTCCAGAAGTAACCAGAAATGTAGTTCGGAGGCTCTGAAATCACTAGTATTGTAGTATCATTGAAAAATCGGTTAGAAATAGAGAACGATTTCCTAAAAACTGGTGAACCAAACTTCAAAATATTAACCGATGATTTCTTTGTGGTGAGAGTGACAATTAGCAAATAAGGAGTTTGAATATGAACATGAAATAATGATGAAAAAAACTTTTAAAACAAGCTTTTATTTAAGTGCCCTAAAGAGATCAAAATAAAATGTTAAATTAACATTAACCACATTCATTTATGACTTTACAGAATTGAAATTATAATAAAAGCTTGTCGCGATAATTTCAATTTGTAATTAAAATTTTGTAATTAGATAGGCACCTACTAAACTTGTAAGCAATTCATAATGTTTGTAATTAAATAAAAGTGCCGTGAATGCTCAAAATGTGGAACTTTAACCTTGAATAACTTTTTTGTACACGTAGGATTTATCGGGTTTGAAATTTAAAATTTTGTTTAAATTTCATCTTACTGAATATGTAGAGATTTCTTCTAGGCATGGCGACAAGCTTTTATTATAATTTCAATTCTGTGAAGTCATAAATGAATGTGGTTAATGTGATTTAAAATTTTATTTTGATCTTTTTATGACACTTAAATGAGAGCTTGTTTAAAAAGTTTTTTTAACATTATTTTATTTTATATTTTTTAGTTTCAATCGATAGTTATCTATCGATACAAAAGTCCATCTATAAAACGGAGAGTCCTTCAACAGAAAAAGTTAAGGAACGGGTAAACTATTATTAGGATGAACTATATTCTATAGAAGTAGGTAGGTACCTACTCCTCCGGCATACCTTAAAGAAGAATTAGCTTGTCATATTTCTTGGTCTATTCATTTTATTGATGGCGTCATTATTACATGGCCGAGTCCCAGTTAATTTCGAACAGTCTAATTCTTATATCAGGAGGACTTCTATTGATATGACCCTTCTTAAAGCCACGTACGCTTAGCCGGCAGCGAACAACTTTAAACCCAAGTATACAACAGCGTGGTTAACCGTACTACCCTGCATTTTGTGAACTGACAAGCCCAGCATAGAACAATTGGCAAAATTCTACGTTCAGCTGTACCATGGCTGAATTTATCTGGAAATTGCACAGATTTCGGTTGAATAACGTGGATTCCATCTTTGCCGAAGTCGATACGGACTGATGGAATGTCGGTGTCGTACAATTGTGCTCTCCGGGAACAGAGCCGTATAATTTCCATTATATGACCGATGACACCATTCATTAGATCAGTAGTACAATCTATTAGACTATCTTGTGTAATTATTTCATTACAATGCAAATAAATATGGGTTCTTACAACCTACTACACTATTTATTGGTGAAATATATTTTTTTTCATTGAAGCCAACCCTGGATGAGGCATCTATTTCATGGTGGGCCTACCAACTGCCTATCAAAAACGATTGCGTATACAAAATTTCGTGTTCCTGCTATTTACCGCTGAGGCGATCTCTTGTACGGAGCCGATCCTGGCAGCAGCATCAGGTCACGTTCATGATCAACATGCATTGTCATCGGTTCTGGACCAGTATGCAAAATTTCAGGTCAATCGGATACCGGGAAGTGGGTCGAATTAAACTTGCAAAATTTGTTAACATACATACAAGTCAAGTTAAATGAAAGCTTTTAATAAAAGGGACCTCGGTCACTTTTATGTTGTTTAAAAAAAAACAAAAAACTTCTTCAACCAAATAGTTTTTGTAATTAGGGAATAAAAAAATGAGTTATATTTCACATAACTAGATGAGTAGAATCATAGGACTTCTTCAGAACAATTTTCTTCAGTGATGAAGCCACGCTCACTACAGATGGAGTAGTTTTGTCTCAAAATTCAAGGTACTGGTCTGGGGATAATCCTAATTGGGTTATAAACGCAAAAAGGCAATATTCCCATAAAATAAATGTGTGGTGTGGAATAATCCATGATAAGATTATCGGTCCGTTTTTCTTCGAAAGTAATCCGAATGAAATTATATTTTTACACTTCTTGAGAAATGAGTTTCAAGACGCAACACATAACTTACTCGTGCAGGATCGCCTGAATTTGAAGTCATTTAAATATGTCTTCCGTACAAAATGCAGTTATTGTAAGGTAATGACTGCATAATAATTATGGAAATCGATGAATAAGTTCAAATATTCCTTACATTGATTGGCCGCCAAGATCACCGGGCCTGACACCTCTAGATTTTTTTGGGATACTGTGAAGCAAAAAGTTCACAAGTCCAGACAGCAGTCAGTAGAAGAACTTCGCCTTAGAATATCTGCAGCTTGAGCAGAAATTACAACAGAACAACTGAGAAAAGTTAAATTATATATTAGAAGAAGCTATGAAAAGGGCATTGCAATGAATGGTGGATTGGCTGAAACAAGAAAAGTTTGATGAACGTTCATTCTTGAGTTGTCATGTTTTTACATAAATGAATTATTTCTTTTTCATATTCTAGATCACCAGATCTTACCTCGCTACATTTTTTTTCTCTGAGGAACAATTGAAAATCATTTTTACAATACATCAGCTACTCGTGAAGAACTAGAGCATAAAGTAAGGGTGACATTCCAGAACATCACTGAGGAACAGCTAATCAATGTGATACGCCCAACAATTGAAAAAGTTGATCAAGGAGGAGGCCGTTTTGAAAATTCATAACCTCAATGGACTAATTTGCGACTTTCTTGCAATTATTCAGAAAAATAGAGAAAATAAAGTGAAAGTGTGTGGCATCAAATTATTCGTAAGAAAATGATCTTTCACATAAAGCTGACGAGCCAACCCCTTTCCATTTAAAAAAATCAATTCATATTTGCGACTGTGAAATAATTCCTAAAACGACTGTGAAGTCTTAAGCCTCAAAGTTCTAGTTTACCCATATTACTTGATCAAGAATGAAGCGATTTACACGATCCATGTCATTCTAGATCAAAAAATGAAAATTGGAATAAAAATGATATTATTTGTCAAATATTGACAAGTGGATTTAGAATGTCATTCTCGATTGAAATAAGTAAAAATATATAGGATGCCCCATTTAAAAATTGACAGTTGGGGTCATTTCCTGCCAAACAGAAAGTACGGCAAAGCAAGTAAATATGTAAAAAAAAATGTAAATTGAACCATAATACACAACCCCCAAATTTCGTTTTTCTATCTCGAATAATAAAAAAGTTATAGGGGTAAGCCACCGTAGAGAATCACCCGGTGTATCTGGTAATTTATTAAAAAAGTACAGGGTAGACTAGATATTTATAAGATCTTTGGCCTATTTTTTTTTCAACCAGATTCATTCTCAGATAAATCAGGAGTATATAAGTTGGTCTACGACATGGAAACAGATAATCAGATGCTTGTCAGAGAATCGTGCGAACCAGTAAGAGGGGGACCCGGCGGATTGTTTACTTAAAAATTTGTGTTATGCGGTGTGAGATATGGAGACTACGTTTGTTCTTTTCTACGGAATGAGGACGAAATATAATTTGATGCTATGGTAACGCAATATTTACTTCATCAATAAAAATAAATCCTTGTATCCATACTTAAATCGGTGGTATAATTAGTAACCTTCACTTTGAAGTATCCTTATACTCAGGACCTCAACCAACCATTTCTTCAAGTCAAGAGTATTGATAGTATTTCTGAATAGGTCAAAATTTTCTTTTTGTTGCGAAAAAATTGAGCCATCATAAGGTAATCAGTTCTCGTCGAATTCGAAATGAATTCCAAGAAATCGTATGGAACTCCTTATAAAACACATTCTTCAACATAGATGCTGTATGTAATTAACGACATGCATTTTGATTGGGTTCGCTGTCACTTGTAGTAGGTTATCTAGGTACTTTGATGATTAATTACAGTGTGAATTTCTTATAAACATTATAATTCATATAAAAAACACTGATGTTTTCTTGACAAAATTGTGTTTCATATGAATAAACTATTGACGCTTTTAAATAATAAATGTTTTTGGGAGAACTTATTTTTATCCTCCGCCATAACTTTACACCTAGTTCCTTCACCATTTTATAGACAATCATCCGCCAACTTAATAGCAAGCACTTTTCCCCATCTCCGGAAATGCAGTATTCTTTTCGGCGCGCGTTTATCAATAATTACAGTCTAGGTAGATATTGATAAACGCTCTGATGAAAGCAGGAAATAGCTATTCAAATAGTTTCAGCATGGTTCTGCTGCTGAATGAAAGAGAAACATCTGCGAGAATAATCTCTGTGAGCTATTTTGAATCAATATCTGTCGCAATATCCAGCGGGGTATTAGCTGGGAAAGTAGTTGTTTTCCGGCAGTCATTCACCAAAAACTACGGTGTAGGTACTTTAGGAGAGATGAATGTTTTGAGATTTAATTTCAAAATATTTATTTTCTTACATATGAATTTATTTTTGGAAGTATATGTTTTTGAAAAAATGAACAGAATGTAATAAATAAAGCAAGATATGCATAACCTATTAAATGAGTATTATCAATCGCATTTATCATGGACAGCCAGACTGAAAATTCAAGTTTATCAATAAAACAAACATAATAATGCAGTGTATTTAACTAAAACGTAATGTCGAATTATTAGCACTATGCAGCAAAATCATATTTGAATGTTGTGAATGGAATAGTTTATTTCTATTCGTTGTTACAACTGAAAAAGGATTTAAAAAAATGTTATATTCAGTTTTTATCAGACTCGGTTGATAAGTTTCCAAATATGAATGTATTGAGAAAATTAATTGGTTTGTCCTTTTTTCAGACATGCTGATGGTAGTATCAAATTCTGGGATGCGAGCGCTGGCACACTTCAAGTTCTCTACAAACTCAAAACGGCCAAAGTTTTCGAAAAACCGAAATCGAAATCCCTGGACTCTGACGAAGACCCTTTTGCGGTAGAAATTATATCACTGTGTCCAGAATCCAGGAAGCTGTGCATCGCAGGAGCTTCTAGCCACGTTATACTTTTTACTTATAAAAAAACCGAAAGTAATGATGAGATAACCGTTTTGGAGGTCCCAATCATTTATGAGGTACCAGAAGAAGCCGAAAACTCACCTGACTGCCAGTTTTCTGGTCCAGGCAGCGCTGGATCTGGGAATAAAATGGATATGCTGGATTTTGACAATAAAAAGGTGAAACATATTTGGATTTGTGGAGTTTTTCTTGATTTTTTGTTGCGTCGCTAGAAATGATTTAGAATAAAGGTTTTATCTCATAAGCTTTCAATAGAACTTAGGTTGGAAATTCTACGGCTTGAGGGTCTGCAATTTAGACGTCACTTCAATAAAATAATCTAATTGTCCAGGTATATTGAAAAATGCTACAGCTGCAGAATAATATATCCCTATAATTGAGAGAATTTCAATCTTTTCTGCCCTCAGTGCTGATAAATGTTTGGCAATATCTCTTCTCATTATTCTTTTCGAAACTCGTAATGCCTATTCAAATGACAAGGGAAGCATTCCCATTATTGTAAAATTCAAATACTTCTCTTGAAAGTATACGGTCTAGCTAGGCATTCTACCAGTATGTTATAAAACCCTGCTAATGCATCTTCTATACAAGTAGTGGGTTTTTCTAAATTCACATTTATAATACATGAAAGGTGCAGACCCAGCCAGACACTTGTCTTTTCCTGCCACTCTTGACTCTGCGTTCTACGTTCCTGATTCATTGATTTCTTCGTCAAAATCGTCCCATTCCAAAACTTTGTCATTTTCCGCTCGGCACAACTCGCGGTAAACTAATCGTGAGTTAAACATTCTTGAAATGGTAGTTTCAACTGGAGGATGATCATTTCAACTATTTATGAATGATAATTTTGAAGAATAATTCAATCAAGTGAATTTTTTCAACCATCTTAGAATTTTTTTTCAATTGGAGGATGATCTGTATCTGTGGAGTAGGGAGGGTAAGTGTAGAATCACAGCACTTAGGCTACATGTGACCCATTGTACATCTTCCCGAGGAGTTGTCTTCCTAGGTCATCGTCCATCCTGTACTTTCCAGGAAGTTGGACAGGTCACTAGGAGACATCTCCTTTGGCAACCTTGAGGTATCTCACGGTGGCCTCCGCGAACGTTTTGGAAGGTGCAGCGACATTACTGTCATTGCGCGGCATCTTCAACCTTCTTGGGGTTCCCTCCCTGCACAAGTGAGGGAGCTTTCCTGCAGGGGCAGCCGGTTCCTTGCCTCTATTCAAGGGAGAGCTCTTGGCGCCTGCTGCAGGAAGTGCTCTTGCTGTTGGAGGTGGAGTAGGGGAGGAGGGGGATGCACTTATAGTTGCTGCCACTTCTGCCCCCTTGGCTCTCTTTCTCCTTTTGGCCTCGGCGCCGCAAATGCGCTTACGCCTTGGCCTTTGTATTACAGCACGAGGTGATCTGCTATGTCCAGCCTCATTCCAAGCGGTAGATTGGGGTGAACATTTCTGTTCATCCCCAGCCACCGCCTTAGATTGAGGTGAGCACTTCTGTCCAGCCTCGAAATTGGTTTTTGTTGTTTCTATTTTTGTGTCTGTTTCATTCATGTGTGTTCCCATGAGTAGCAAGGGAAGAGTTGCTCACCTCTGGCAGAGCCTCACATTACCAGAGGTAGGCTGATGACAATGAGGTTGGGGAGTTTTAGTTCCCCTCACCATACTCATTTCTGCCACAGACCAGAAGTACGGCGACCCCGTCCGTAAGGCCACATTGGCTTCCCGGGCAGAGGCCTCCAGTCCCCTGGCCGTTTCCCTATCCCCCACCTGGGGACGCGACAGATAGGTAGCCCATTTCACAGGATCATTTTAACTATTTATGAATAATAATTTCGAAAACTAATTCAACCAAGTGAATTTTTCCAACTATCTTAGAATTGTTTCAACTTGTGAACGTTCTCCAGTATCGTGGCTGTCTTGAAAATTCTTTCACAAAATTTTAATTTACTTTCTTAAATACTTACTACATTTTGTTTTTCAGGAAGGAGCAACACTGAAAGTAAAGTCTGGTAGTCAAAAAAAACTCCCAGGATTCCAGGCGCAACTAGTTTGTCTAACTCCCTGGAATAATGGGGAACCACCTAGTCATATCACGTCTTTGTCTGTCAATAGTTCATATGGATTGTAAGTTTGATGTTTCTGTTCACTATTTGTTCATAGATTATGGTAAAGAAGAGCAGTTAGACAGTTCAGTCAGGAAGTAGATACTCAATACTAGCGTTTTTTGTTTTCCAAGAATCGAAATGAATCCTATCATTCCTCACTTGTCAACATATTAAGAAGGAATAATAAGTGTTTATTCTATTTGAACAAGCAGAACAAGATGTAACGTCTCAATGAAATTTTAAATAATATCTACACTTCAGTTGATATTATCGTGAGAGTTCTACTAGAGAAAGCTCAGATGATATATCAAGAAAAACAATAATATTTTATAAGATGAAGTGTAAATAAGTAAAATCGTATACAGGGCCGGATTTAGGGGACAGCTAGATTTCAGCGAAATAATCAACAAATTTTCGTGGAGAGTTCCAATCGTTAACGCAGTAATTTGGTTTTTAATAAATTTTGTTTGACTTCTACAAATTACTACATTCTTTGATGGAATAATTTTATTTGCTGACAATTAATTTTTGAAAGACTCAACAGAAAAAAAAATATTTCTTTTATTTGGAAAATAACTCGTTGAACGAGCGCCGCCGTACTCCAGACTTCCAAAACCGGCCCTGATCGTATAGGTTCACTAGCAATTTTCATTACATATCGCTCAACCCGTGCTATGTATCGCACGTTAAAATGTAACACCTCGTTAATTCCTCAAATCGCACAAGTTTCGGCTTCTGGGTGTGTGGTTCAGGTACATCATGAGAACTATGAGATATTGTTTCATTAATTGTGATGCACTGTTTGGAACATTAAATATTGTTCAAAAATAACTCAACAAATCTCAACTATTTAATAATAGTTGAGATTTGAACCATAGATTTTCATAAAGTATTCAGTATATGTTAATTATTAAGTTTGCAAGAAATCTATCGAATTTATATTAAAAAGGTATTTTGAACAACTGATTGGATTCACAACCAAAGAAGTATAACAACAAGAGAGATTTCATCTCACAATAATATTACTGCAACCTCCTTCAGAGAAAGCAATACAATTGATCACATATCAACAAAGGGTACTGAAATAATAAAAACGTTTTTATCAGTAATAAAATGAAAACAATATTCAATGCCGGCACTTGAATCAAAAACTAAAATCAAAAGGAAATAACATATAAGCTACAACCAGAAAATAAAAAATTGAATTATTAATAAAAGCTGAAAATTAAAAAATATTAACAAAAATGAAAAATAAAAGAATAAGAAATAAAAATTAAAAGAGTCCAAACCAAGTTACGTTATGACGTTTCGATTGTTAGTATCCACAATCGTCTTCGGGTGATAACTGGACTTATTCCTCCGAGATCTGACTATTTATAGGTCATTCGAGTGCTTTCACCTATCTCCTCTTTTATAGATGATACTTCTGAGGTTATCCAATATCAAATTATTTCATTAGTATCTATTGATTTACCTCTCCAGTATCCCCAAAAATGGTTATATTTGGATGTAGATTTTAAACAGAACAGCTTTCAATTTGAGATATGGAATATCCGATATAAATCATAAAAATATCTAGTAAGACAGATTTCAATGTGATACCAGATAATATATATTATGATAAATTTCCAAATGGTACCTCAAACTTACAAATATCAGATTTTCATTTGTTCTTCATACAATTACTATGAGTCGAGTGCTCAATATACAGTGCATTTCTTTAATGTCTCCCCTTTAATTTTTTGAACAGGTCAACTCATAAAATTGAAATTTGGGATAATGAAATTAATGCATGAATACTTTATTTTGATGTGAAATTGACAGATGAAACTTTCAAGATGGCGACTGGGCGTCATCTGGGAAAACAAAATTGAATGGAAAGAGAGGTCTGGAAAGGGAGGCCCTAGAATATGAAGTCCAATATCTTCACCTACTACGAAATGGCGGAACATTTAATGATTTCCTGAAGACAAACACATTAATATCGATATTTCCAGAAATATTCCTTTTTATCTGCTGTATGGCAATTCCAACAACCCGATAAGGTTTTAAGTTATTTTTTGTTTATAAAAACGACAAAAAATATCAGTACGACAATGAACATCATTGTTCAGTTAGAATATTCTCATTTAGTTTTCGGTTTTACTAGTAGAAAGGTACCACGTCAACAATCTCTAAAATGGTTCATTCTCGTCCATTGGAAGAAAAAATTGAAGCGATTTTTATTCGCAGTGCGACGCGTAACTTTCACGAGACCGACGGGATTTTCAATGAACATTTTTTGAATCGTCCTATCTGTAGAAAATATTTGAGGGAACTTGTATTCAAATTCACAACTACTGATAGGGTACATAACAAAAAGCCCCCAGGTCATCCGTCCATTCCGGAAGAACAGCAAGTGCGAATAAATGGTGAGATGGTAGTAAATCCTGAACAATCTACTTATTCCGTCACGAATGTTTGTAAGGCGTCTCCTTCTACTGTGTGGAGACTTTTGAAGAGGAATGGGTATCATCCATACAAAATTAAAATGGTACACCAAACAACTGAAGATGACCCTGATCGAAGAACATAATTCTGCGAAATCATGATGGAAACCATTGCAAGGCATCCTACCTATCTCCACAATATTTGTTTTAGTGACGAATGTATATTCTTTTTAAACGGTAATGTTCACAGACAAAATTGCCGTTACTGAAGTGACACCAACCCTCACGTTTTCCAGGAAACATATCCAATATCCAGAAAAAAATTAACGTTTGGGCAGGAATATTGGGAAACCATATTGTAGGACCTCTATTTATTGATCAAAATTTAATAGAGGAACTGTATTTGAATATGTTGGAAGCTACTGTTGATCCCTCATCACTAAAATCTTCGATCCTAATGAATTCGATATGAATATTGTATTCCAACAAGAGCACCACCACCTTACTCCAGACAAGTAAGAAACTATTTGGATACTACTTTTCCCGGTCGTTGGATTGGCCGTCGAGGACCTACAGAATGGCCAGCCTGCTCGCCAGATTTGACACCTTTAACTTTTTTTTATGGGGTTATTTGAAGCAAAAGGTGTATGAAACTGGAACTGCTTCGATATTGTATATACGACAGAAAATAATAAATATTTGTGGATATATTGACGTTATTGTGTTCGAAAATGTTCGGCGTGAAATATCGAATAAGCTGTTCATATTTCCTCATATTATATTACCTCATATTATATAGCTTAATGTTAATGTGTTCAGGCAATTATTAAAAGTTCCGCCAATTTGTAGTAGTTGAAGATATTGACATTATACTCTAGGGTTGTAAAGTATCTGTCAGGAGCTTCAAAAAGATGTGTCATAAGACACCCCCTTTCCCATTTAATTTTTCCCCACATGGCGCTCAGTCGCCATCTTGAAAGTTTCATCTGTCAATTTCACTTCTAAATAAAGTATCCATGCATTAATTTCATTATCCCGAATTTCAATTGTTGGCTCATTCAAAAAATAAAGGGGCGGACATTAAAGAAATGCACTGTATGTAAGATACAAACCAGGGAACAAGCTGATAATATTTCACACTTTTTCCGAATGTTTCAGAATGGCATACGGTAACGACGCTGGCATTGTGATAATAGATATAGAGCAAAGAGTATGTCTTCTGAACGTCGGCAGTCCTGACATGTACGGTGCCCAAGATCCCTATTCTCGAATAGCGAGGAGTCCGAAGAAGTGTCAAACTCTTGCCGACACCCTGCCTATCAACATGGACAGGGATGAGAGACAGCCCCGTAGTCCAAGCATAGATCAGGTTAGTGAACACTAGACGTAGTTGGCGTTGATCACTTTGATTATTACAGCATGATGAGTCCACCGGAATTTCGCGTCATTTTACTCTTTCATTTCTCATTTCGCGTCACCGAGTTGGTCACTTACTAAGTTAGCCTGTTGAGCTCATGCTGTGGGAAGGTGACTAGGTAAGTATTGCAATACAACCAGAACTTTGTTAGGTTTGAATATGCCTGTTTTAGCTTGTTCTGATTGGGGTATTGTTGGTTTATTCTTCTCCAGAGAACGGCCACTTTATGATTTTTTTATAAAAACTCATGCCAAATCTGAAACAGTGAGTTGAAGAGTGATTACCTGAATTTATAATCTGAATGAAAGTCGAAACTAATCGAAACCTGTTATTTTTCATTATTGTTAATATAACAAGGTTAGCATTTTCACCATAGCACGACACATACGACATTTGATTCTAGAACTCTATAATCTCTTGGACTTGTTCATTGTTGAATCCATTCATTGCAGGTATTATTGTTATTGATTTCCGAGAGTTCATGATAAATTTACTTTGTTCCTCTCTAGTTTTTCTAGTTGAATTAACGGTTAACCACAGTTTAAAATCATTTTAGTTCCTACTAGTCAAGAACCAATCTCTAAATAGTAAACCAATAATGATATCAAAGTATACTCACATAGATGAGCAATTTCTTCCTATTTTTCAACCCTTCACCTGAAACGGTCATCTATTAATATAAAACTACGACGCGGAGTCATATCACCTGAATTCAGATTATTTTTAATCTATAATCGATTACCAATAATGAGAATTACAAAACGCTACTCACATTGAGGAGTGATAAGGAAATTCTTTGGGGGTATCACATCCGCCAAAGCATAGTAATCTCGTTCTGAAATTCGTGCAGTCACAGCCATGGATGCATCCAGAGCATCACCTTAGCAATCCTCTATCTTTAGGAAAATCAAACTCTCAAAAACTCAGCTCCGAATATAGGGGGGGAAAGCTGAGGCCTTTGACCTGGCGGCAACTTCAGAGGGCGGCCAAATTCACACTTCACAGACGAATGGACAAGTCATCGTTTACGTGACATTATTATTCGGGAGGTGTGTAAGCATAGTTCAAAATATGTGCCCATGCGTGGTATAAGACGTTGGTTAATTGCTAAAAGGTTGAAGATGTTGGCCTATATATTCTGAGACAAAAAATGAAATTTTTACAACAAACAAATGAAATCATGCTGGTATTGATCAAGACTTCGAGCGAGTAATTCACTCATAGAAAGAAAAATAGAGACAGATCCTACTTATTGTTATTGATGCTGTATTGTATCTATCCACAAACTGCCTTTCTTTTTGCGATCTCATCACACAATGTCCTCAGCCTAGTCAAGGTGACTTATTGAACCTGCACTACTCGCCAAACATAATTCAACTCTTGAATTTCGATTAGAACACTTCAAAAAAGGACAGCTTTCTGATTTATCAAAGACAAAGCAGAATGAAATTATGGACATAATGGCTAAAACAGTTAGAAATAGCATTTTAAATAACATCAACGAAGCCAAATACTACACGATGATGTTTGACTGTACTCCAGATTTTAGAAAAATGGCCAGCTGATTACTTAGAGATTGGACAATGTCATGACCAAAAGAGTACAAGCCAGGATTGCAGAAAGGAATGAGCTGGCCGAGTTTGTACGTTCTTAAACCTTGTAGGTGTTCATTCTGACTTATCTTGGCCAGGAATTTATTAACCTATTTGGACTGATTCATAAAGTATATTGCTTTTTTATTAGCTTCAGTACTAGGTGGGACATTATGAAAAATATGTTGAAACAAATTTAAAAGGAATTAACCAGATGAGATGGTCGACGAAACATGTTGCTGTGAATGTCCTATTGAATAATTAACCACAAGTAGCCGAAGCCTTAGAAGAAGTTAAGCAAATTTCTCATACTCCAGAAGCTAAGTACGGGGCAGGTCATCTCTTAACTGCTATGAAGAACTTTAAATTTATTCTCAATTCAACTATTCAAGCGAATATCAATCGAGTGGAAATGGAAATTCAAAAAGAACATATTATCATTGCTCAAATCATCTAAAAGAACAATTCGTTCAGGCCAGTCTCAACACCCTACACAGTAGGTTAATGGACTGACACCTATCAGAAAACAACTACTCCCCTGGCTAATACCACGAAGGGCGTTGGATTATATCCGACAGGTGTCCATTTGTTCTTTTAGATGATTTGATTTATAGCCAGTCTTCAAGTATGCCCACTGACTATACGTGAAAGTTATCATTGCTCGTTCCGTCGCAGTAATAGGTAGTCTGCTCAAAACTTTGCGAAAAATAAGACAAAACTCAATGAAATATTGGATGAAAGAGACTGGAGAAGTTGCTGAAAAACTGATAATAAGCCGATTTTGAAAAACAAATGAATTCCGAAACGTAAAAAACATTTCTATGAGATGTGCGAAGACCAATTACAAACACTCCAACATGTGAAACTATTTTCTAAAGAAATAATGATGGTATTTGATCGAGTCATATCAGAAATTAAAAAGAGATTTGATTGTGCTACCATACTGAATTTGAATTTTTTCTTGATGGTACTAATATTTTGAAAATGTCAATTGAAGAACTGCAAAAGTATGGAGCAGATCAGGCTCGAAGATACGAGCAAGATTTAAGCATCGTTGAATTCTGCCAGTAACTGCCTTCTATCTCTTGCAACAACCAAGTTGAGTTTCACGAGTATCTGTATTCGATGAATGTTGATAATGAGTGTATTTTTAAATTGACAGTATATTTTTAGAAGAGATAAATTTTTGGGAAAAAAGGTTTTGGCTTTTTACCTCCAGTATGTTTCTGAAGGTAACTTCTTTGTGAAGAGTTTATTATGAAGTATTGTAAGTTTCACAAATTTATTGTATAACGATGGAAAAGTAGAAAGCCAAAACCTTGCTTTCCCAAGAATGTATTTTTCTTCTTGTTCCAAAATGAAATTGATTCGAAATAAACTTCGAGAATGTCGAAACCGATCGAAAGAACCCTATTAGAATTCACAAGACTGAAAGCTGAAGAGATGCTGAGACTTCAAAGCACTGAAAAATAATCTATCGGACATAGCCATAACGCCATCATGTCTCCGATGAAAATGTTATGACACCAACATTTTGATTTAAAACTACGTCAAATTTTGAAAACGAAAATACTGGTAAATCTCACCCTGAAATATATAGTGAAATCTTCCGTACCAAGATCCTCAAAGGAAAGAATTGAAGACAAATTCAATTGAAGCCAAGCTATAGTTCGGGAGCTATAGTTAAGCTAGTGATATGACCATCTATTCAGAAACAAAACACAGAGAACAACCACTGAAGTAATTTTTTAGAAATTAGTCTTTTAAAAAAACGCGTATCTAGTGAAAGAGCTGTATGATATTGTGAAAGAAAGAAACTGATTGGAGATAAATGGAAGACCGTGTTGAAATCAGTCAGTACAGTGCTCTGTACAATGAAATTTCATTCATGCTCAACCCTGGTATTTTTGGCACCTCTTTAGAATCTATTGAGAACTTGAAGGGTTGTCAAACATTGTATTGAACTTGAATAACCTCATTAACAATAACATACACATGAACATTATAGTTAAATAGAAAATTTGTGGTGTTATTGACAATTTGTAGATAATAAATAAGAACTTGAATCCTTCTGTTGAAAAAAATACATGGCCTGTGAATATTCAACTCACTTTGATGAGGTTATTGAATAGCTGAAGCTTATTCATATATATTCACTGTTTTTGATTTGGCATATTTGGAGTATCCACCAGATGGTGAAATTCTAACGATAAGTTTTCAATTCCAGTTGAAAATATATCTTCAATTTTCCTTTCTTCCAATTAAGATTTGTGTTTTTTCAATTATTAGATGAGGTAGCTTCTACTTCCCACAGTATGACACCGCTACGAAGTGTAATTTCATGAAATCAACCGCTCAAGAACTAACCACGGCAAAAACAGCATCGCAACTACTTATCCTATTTTTGCTAATTTTATAAATAAGTTGCTGAATTCTGCTTCCGTATACACCCAAATTTGTGCATGATTTAGATGGGACGATCCCCAGAAAGCCCATTCCCCTTTGCCCCTTGCCCCACACCCGTAGAGCAAGCATGCGAAGCCTTGGAAGAAGAGAAAGCCGTGCCAATACCACAAAATCGACGAAAATCTTCTACCTGGAAGGGTTTCAATTTAAAACGTCAATTGTCCAAGGTAGACATCAAACTCAAAAACCCTCTCAAGGAGAAGAGGGGTAGCATATTTTATTCTGACACTTCTCCGGGGCAGGACTTCATGGACAACCTGGAGGAAACCGAGAAGTCGTCTCCAGAATCTGACGAGAACACCGTTATCGACAATCAAAGTATCATCGACTTGACAATCAAACAAGGGGATCAGTACGGCACGATCAATGCCGATGACAATGAGATAGAACAATTTAGCCCAGAAGAAGAACCAGAGGTGCCTTTTTTAGTGGGTTCTTTAGGAACCCAGTTAGATTACCCCGATTTTCGAAAAATGAGCGCCATCACCAGACCCGATAATTTGGAGCTGCTCGGCGACGATGAACCGCCGGTTAGACCTCCCAGGTATAAGAAGAAGCCGCAACAAGAGAAAAGGGACCAACGGCTGCTTTCCGTACCTAACATAAAATTTCAGAAACCCGAAGCGCAGAACTTTAAAGATTTGCGGGACAAAGAGGACGTGACGGTAGTTAGTCCCCAGCCGAGTTTCACGGGGAACCTTATGAGACGTTTCAGTAAGTTTTGACTCTGACCTTGAATGCCTATCGGGCCTTGTCCTCTAGTCCAATATCCTTTCAAACCTAGAACAGTCAAATGTTTTTTAGTCGAGCAACGATATCAATACTGCAGTAATATGTTGTCATTATGTATTGGTTCGTGGAATACTCAGAACTCTTCTGTCAATAATTGAACATTATGATAGTAGTGAAGAATTTCAATGATTATTATTCTGACAGGCTGCACCAGAACATTAGGAAACAGTAAATGTTGAATTTTGTTTGTTGTCTTCATCTTTCATTTCTCTCAAGTTTCTTACTGAATATTCTTAAACAGTGTGGCCACTGGAGTTCCCATCATTTGGGAATTTTTCTCAATAACTTTACATATTTGAAATTTAACTTTGGTTTATCTCCTGATTTGACCCCACTAGTTTTTTCAATAACGTTTTCTAAAACCAAGTTTTTAATAATACAGGCCAATCCAAGTTGACCATTTGGAAAATGTATATTGTTTTGATATTTTTTCACGCGACTTTCTATTCACTTGCAGAAAAAATTTGCGGAAACACCTTCCAACGAATTTTTAGAAGTAACATCATGAAAAAGTGATAAGTGTAAGTGTAGAATATGTAAATTTTGTTTGATAGGAATTAAAATTGTTAGACAGGCACGAACCAGAAAAAGAAACAAATATGGAGAAAAATTAGACAGATATTTCACTTCTGGATTTTACAAACAAAAGCTGGGAAACTTTGAAGTTTGCTAGTTAAACAAAATTCTGCGCTTCTCTTCGATTATACTTTATTTCAGAATAATTTTTACAGAAAATCCAAAAATCTGTAATTGTTCATATGCATTTGAAATGTGAATCAAAATCTAGAGAATATGTATTCAGCTATCAGAAGATTATTCGAAGGATACTGCTTACAAAACCATTGTTTTGAAAAAGTGCTGAAATAGTTACATTTTTTATCATAAATTGTTCTGATCGAGAGTTTATTCATGAAACAAATAGATATCAACAAATATAATATTAGAAATTTCTGAATTTTATGGTTTTTACTATCACCATCTGATGCAATTATTTTTGTTTTGCTTATTTGAGGTGTGAAATTTTCATATGGATAGTCTGCAGATGACTTCTGTCTTCCTGTAATTAATATAAACATTCAGTTTTTTTTCACATGAAAAATAATAATAACTTTCAAAATTGTTCTTCGAGACCTATAAGCATAGGTCTGAATTATTATGTGATTCAAAAAATAATATTGAATGGTTATAAATAACTATTTACTTGAGAACCATAACTCAAATCAATATAACATTTGACTGTTCGAATTTGAATTTTCTAATTTAGAAGTGCCTGTGTAGAGTGATTGGATTTTTTCATATCATTAATCAAAAAAACTAGCCAGAGAATGTTGTGCGGATTAGCATTTTTTGGTAGTGTAGCGTCAACATATAGGTTTTTGAGAATTTTTAGAAAACTTCTTCAACATCAACGCTGACACTACATAATATTCACCTTAATTTTGGAAACTTTGTGTTTTCGTTTTTTCCGTATCGCTTATTAGCTGATTTTTGCTTTATTTGTTACGTTTACGACTAAATCTTAGCTCAATCCAAAATTGATGAGCTGTTGTGCATTTTTTGTATTAACTTTAGGAAAAGTGAGGCGAACATAATTTAAAAAATCATTACTTAATTCCAAACAATATTGAAACAAATCGACACTGAAATTTCATATGCTGCCGTCTTTTTCAATTTCAGCACCAACCAAAGTCATGATTCATTCGAAGTTAATTGATGAAATTCAAATCTGCTGGTCATTTAGAAATTATACAACGAAATGTAGACCTTCTCTTCCAACAACCATTAATTTTCTGTTTTCGGCTTACCCAAACCCTTATATCTCACACGCCATTTATTTTGGAGCAGAAGGCGGGAGCTTAACTGATTATAAACAGATTTAACGGATGTAATCTCAACGTAAACACTACTGAATCTACCGGATCATTCAAATTCGAAACACCTCTCACCAGAAAAGTTTTGAAACGCGGTATATGGTTGAAAATTCTGTTATATTCAAAAAATATTTCTCTTTTCCCAACAAATAGTTTGAAGATATTGGTGATTTGAAAACTATCAATATGTCGCATTCAGGTTCAAAATTCTGGTGCTTCTACCAAAGATTTCTCAGTTGTGCTTTTCATGTTTCCTATATATATCTTGTTTGTCATGAAACTAGATTGATTTCCATTCAGGTGTCTATTAAATTTATATAATTCAAAAGAGTCCATTTCTAGAGATGACATTTTTCAAATGCATTTTGAAAATGAGAAATGAAAACAGGGGTATCCTTTTTATACCCTGAGTAAGTAGAACTAGCTCGGACCAAAACCTGACATTGGCATCGCTTAAGGCTTTGTCAAACAAATATTGAACACCTGGATGGCAAGAAGATTTGTGGACTTCTGGCAGAATTTTCCAGGTTTGGTTCACTCCAAGGCGTTTATTCACCCTTTGAAGCTTGATACCAAACATTTGTTGGACTTCAGTAGGGATGAACTACGATGTCTAATAGGCCTTCTTACAGGTCACTGTCATTTGAATCATCATATGCAGAGACTCGGAATGTTGGAAGACAGTGTGTGTCACCTCTGTTTGGAAACAGCATGATGATGACACAGCAGAGCACATACTTTGTGCCTGCCCCGCTGCAGACCGAATCAGGTTTTTAGAGTTCGGCAGAGCCGTACTCTTACCATCTGACCTGAAATACCACTCACCATACAAACTAATCGGCGCACTTTGGACCTAACCTAAGTGGAACAGCAGCAGCCGGCACTGGTCAACAAAAGTCCGATTTTGCTTCACGACAATACCCGTCCGCACGTTCGACAAATTACCGTCCGAGAATTAAACAAATTGAGCTTCACAGTTCTGCCTCATCCACCATACTCCCAGGCCTGTCGCCAAGCACTTCGATAACATTGTTTCCGGTAGAACCTTTGCCAGGACCAGGCCTTCGTTGACACCATCCAATTCCCAGCACAATATTTCAATGCTGACGAAATTAATCAACTTGTGTTACGTTGGCAAAAGTGCACTGTTTCGAATGACGCTTATTTCGATTGAAACCAATAAGTATATTATTGATATACTACGGTTATATTAAGAATATATTGAGGTTTAAAGAGGACTCACAAAACCGTTAAAACAACCTAATAAATTTATTGAAAAGTCATCTGAAATTTTTGGCTAATAACGTCATGCTATTTGTTGGAAAATGCTAGGATATAAGTTTTTCGAAAATATTGAGGTATTTGCTCAAAATATTCGTTCAATGCTTGCTACAAAAATTGAATAATTAATAAAACTACAGCTGTCGACATCTATTCACCGGTTTTCGAAACATCTTCGCGCTCTTCTGAAACTTCTCTGTGTGATGCAAAACGTTTACTCAAATTTCATCACTCAAATTCAATCGATCATACATCAAGTCTTGAAAAAAAGTTTAACTTACATTTTGGGGCACTGAATTACACATAGTACCTGGTGCAATCAAACACCTACTTTCATGTAGCAAACTTTTTTTATGCGTCTAGTAGTGAAAAATGAAGACAAATCAGTTAAAATTTGCGAGAGCTCGTGTTGGTAGCTTGCATATAGTTTGGTATATAAAAGAGAGATTGCTATACAAACGTGAATCATCGGCAATTTCATGCAATTCATGGCGTATTAATATCGTTTGACAGTTTAATATCGTGGAATGAAAAGCTTCTACCATTTTAATTCATTTATATTTTACAAATTGTTCTCACAACCAATAAACTAATCAAATTTTACAGTAATTAAATTATCGTCATTATAAATTTTAATCTCAAATTAAGAATTGCTTTGACTACTGTTCCCAAGTAACGGTTGAGATAGGGATTTTACTGCTGGTGAATTTCAAAAATTAAAGCAATTCTTCATTGAAAGATCAAGATGTTCCTAACTGTAGCCATGTTGTTTCTTTTCATTACTTTGTCGACCTATGCGGCAAATTGAAGACACATGTATACTAGGTATTTTGTTGCCCCAAATGTAGATCACATTATTTGATGCTCCTACTAAAAATATGACCCTATCACTGTTCTTCAGAAATTTTTGTGAGAACTATCAACCTGACAAGCCCTATATTTGAATATAATACCTGTTTTCGATTCCTCTTCTGCAAAAATCGTGTGGTAGTCACCATGTTAGAAGATATGTTCGCTTCCCTTTTCCAACTAAAATGAAAAATTACTAACGCTTTCTTCCAGCGGGCAACGGTGGGTTTTTGACTTTGTTCTCGGTGGCTTTGGCACATTTTAAAGGGCGAGGACGGCACTCTCGGCTGTCTGGCACACCTATCGAGAAGGCTTTGGGGTAGGGAGCCACGTAGCATAGCGTAGGACCTGCCCTAGCGCCACCCTTTAGTAGCTTAATTAGCGAGCAAAACAGCCTTAATAACGACAGTAGTGCGCTGCTTGTACTCGTCCTATAATCCACTCATTGGTCATCGTTTTTAATGTTTAATTTTAAGTTTTTATGTGTTGCCCAGGTACCACCGCCATCTGGATCGAAATTTCGAAAAATATATTACGTTTTTCGAAGTCAGAACAGATACTATTGGTGAAATAAGTATCAAAACTCGTATCAATCACATACACGAAGGAATTGCCAATATAATTCATTCTGTAAAAAGCTACTTTTCTGAATATCTACTGAAAATAGACAATGACGTTGTTAAAACGAAAACTTGACCACCACTTAACTCAGAATCTGACGTATGAGAAAAAGCACGTGAATTTTTTATCTGAGGGATCCAATTTTAACGTGAAATTCATACCTAAAACTTCAGTCACTTGCAGGCAGCAGCTATCCTCACATTTACACAGATAGATACATCCCATTTTTTATTTAAAAAAACTTACATTTGCTTTTGTTTTTTTAATTGAGAAAAATTGACAAGTAACAACAACAAAGTT